CTTCAACGCTTTCTCTCTCTCTTTCAACGAAGAGGCCGAGGAATAAACGGGGCTGGAGAAAATCACAAAGGAAAAGGGGGAAGGAGGGCAGGAACAAAAATCACGGTCCGCTGTTTGCTGGATCTACCCGAGAGCGGACCGATCGCTGGATCGATTTTTTTTCCCCTTTTTTTTATGGTTTTTTTATACCGGTTGGGCCGGTCATCTGCTTGCCTAGCTGGCGACGGCGCGTATAAGTGCGGCGGGTCGCCAAAGAGGAGATGCTCTAGACAGGTTCATGGATTTACTTTTTTCTATTATTGTCCCCGAAGGCTCTGAAATTTTGGAATTAGTCACCAAATCTCGTTTGTTTTTAAAATTAGTTTCCCAAATTAGTCCCCCACTTCCGAAATTAGCCCTCCAAATCTTATACCGGTTTTGAAATTAGTCCCCCGTAATTTTCAATCGGACGTATAACTAAAAGGGCTGATCGTACTTAAAATATTTTGGGAAACTGATTTAAAAGTTTAAAGATTCGGGGGACTCTTTCATAACACTTAAAAGATTTAGGGACTAATTTAAAATATCAAGATGCGGGGACTTTCAAAACATTGAGGAGTTGGGGGGCCAAAATGGAACGACGCCTGGATTCATTGTAGAGAGAGAGGGGGCTCGTGAGGAGACTTGGCTTGACTTGTTCTCATCGGTGCAAATTTTGACCGAAGGCCTGCTAAATTTTGTTGCCTGGCCTTATTTCATTTTTCAACTTAATTTAATCTAAAAATAGAGTCCGAGTGGTTCGGGGTTGAAAGAGGGAGTCAAAGACTCAAAAAGAAAGAGGACGTTAGGACACGAGATGCTTCTTCTTGTCTGTGGTAATTAAAGATCAAAGATGGTTATTAATGTATGAGAAACTATTTGGTAATATTAATGTACGAGAAAGTATACGGTAAGTTTCTAAAATATACAGAGTGTTGTTTTGGGAGAGAAAGTACATGGTAAGTTATTAAATATGCATAGTATATACGGATAACTCCAACAATATTCTAGTCTCGTGTCATGATCCTTTAATTTTATCACTTTCGTATCCTGACGTATTATCTTGTCGGCCATTTCATAATTATATAAATAAATACATTCTACTGTTTAATCTACGTTGTTTACTTCTGTTTTCTGGTCGTGTTGGATATGTAATGACATTTAAATGGATAAACTTGGATTATGTCATTAGTTATGTTTATGTTAAATAATAAATTAGATGAAAATTTTGAGAGGGCAAGTATCCTACCGGTATCAAAATAACCATGAAACGCGGTCTAAAGGAGACCTGGGCGTTCTCAAGCTAACGTTGTTGGTCGAGCTACTGAGTACATCGATCATGCACTTACTACTGAAGGTGGTGTGTGTGTGTGTATAAACAAAGTTTATCACAATATCTTTATGGAATATCTCATTCAAGATTGGAAGACGGTTAACGAAGTATCAATGCTTTGCTCTGAGCAAAATTTAGAAATAATAAACAGTTTAAGAAAATAATAAAGTTCTTAAAGAATAACATGTGTATCTGTGCAATATAAAATTTCACTCCACTTCTATATATATTCGAGATTTTCCCCGTGTATACAAGCTTCTGGACTAAGTTCTTAAGAGCATCTCCAACAGCTTCCCCAAAATTTTCTCCAAAATGGAGAAACAAAAGTCATATTCTCCAAATTATTTTTGCTCCAACTCCAACAGCTTCCCCATTTTGAAAAATCGCATTTATTACAATAATAAAGCTCTCCCCAAAAATTTGGAGAATGCTGCAGATTTGGGGAAGGCTCCCTATTTTTTCTCCTCCTTCCCTATTTTGGGGAATGGGATGGGGAATCTGTTGGACCAAAAAACAACTCTATATTCCCCAAAATTAAGTATTTCAAGAAGATGAGGAAGCTGTTCGAGATGCTCTAAGTGGCGAGAATGTGCTATATTTTTTATGGATAAATTTTCAAAATCGACATATTTAGACTTTTATTCCTAAAAAACGATCTCATTCAAACAAAATTGCAAAAAACGACCTGGTTTCAGCCTCAGCGCTGAAACCAGGTCGGTTTTTGAAAAAAATTTCTGAAACTTCACATTTTTTTTGAACTATTAAACATCACGGGAGTTGAACTCCTATGAAGTTTAGTAGGCTAAACTTCACAAGAGTTCAACTCCCGTGAAGTTTTGGAAAAAAATTTTAAAAACCGACCTGGTTTCAGCGCTGAAGCTGAAACCAGGTCGGTTTTTGCAATTTTGTTTGAATGAGGTCGTTTTTTGGGATTAAGTTCACAAATGGGTCGGTTTTGAAAATTTATCCTATCTTTTATTAAATAGCGAAAAGTGAAAGAACGAAAAATGAAATGGAAAGTGAAAGAAAAAAAAGGAAAATTAATTAACTTATGATTCAAGTTTTAGCACATGTAGAAAAATCTTCAAAGAAGAAGAGAAACAAAATTCTAAAAGTTGAAACTAATTTGATCTGAAGATTTCAAACCACGTCAAAGAGTTCATTTGGACGAGACAAGGTTTCCAATAACTTTCACTTGGCCCCTCTGGATTTCTTTCTTATTATTTATTGTTTGTCCAATTTCGTATGATAATTATACAGCTTTTATTTCCACTTACCAAGCTGTGTGAGGATTATGGGAAAAAAAATATTTCCATGTATAACAAACGTGTTATAAAGAAAAGAGTATTCTTGCAACATGTAAAGTACTAAAATTTAAAAGTTTTGCACTGATTACCTATTGATATAGGATTCCGTTTGATGAGCTTTAATTCATTATGGGGGTGCTTGTTTGGTTATAAGTGAGAAGTGAAAGTGTGAAAGTGAAACGCTTTTGATACTTGACGTGTTTGTTTTATTGAAAATGATAGTGAAAGTGAGATATAAAAAGTAGTCCACATTAGATTTGTTGCGAGCTCAATTTCCTCGGCCCTATTTGGTTGATCTAAAGTATCAGAAGTAAAAAAGTAGATCAAATACATTATTTTTAAAATTACAAAGTAGAAAGTAGCGAAGCACTACTTCTTTTGATTATTTTATAAATTTTAAAAGTAAAGGAAATAGTGTTTCTTCCACTTTGTTCACTTTTTGTTTGGTAGCAATTAGAGATATTGTTGGAAAGAGAGAAAGAGGATCTTTCGAGATTTTACTTAAAAACATGTAACCAAAAAATAATTTTATTTCTAAATTCATTCAATTTAATTTAGTTACTTCTGAGGTGCTGGCAAGCCTTCAAGGGAAAAAAAATATTTAATAAGTAGAGATGACATATAGGCACCACGTCAACTTTTAAAGAAGTATCGGAAGTAGCTCTTTCAAAGAAACAAACATATTTTTGTTCTTAATAGTAGCAGAAATAGCCGTTATTTTTTTTTATTTCAGCTATTTCATAGATACTTCCTTACAAACAAACAAGCCCTAAAGAAATGAAGAAGTGAGGTGAAAGTGAAAAATAGGGACCACCTGTATCAAAATAATATATTTATGTATTAACATCTGATTTATTTCCTAACAGCTTTTTCCTCTCTCTTCTTTCACGTCTCTCTTTTCTCCCCCAAGTCTATTTCCTTCTTTATTTTTTCTCTCCACATATCTAATTTTGACGTCTTTACCCATAATTTAACTCCATGATTATATTCATTCCCTCCTCCGTAGAGTTCATCCCATCATCTTTGTTGATTTTTCAACAGTATATATATACTTCACCGGATTTCTTTCCTTTCTCTTTGAAAAAGCCCCACTTCTTAAATTTTTCTCCCAGGAACTTACGCCTCTCCACATGGCTTTTTCCCAACTAATATTTCCCCCACGTTTCTTTTCCTCTTTTTTTTTTTTACTCTCTCCATAGAATTGACTGTCTTTGTCTTTTTTTTATTTAAATAAAAACTGCACCTTTTGTTGGATCAGACTCAATCAACGATTACCAGATGGAAAATTAAGAAAATAGCAAAGTTTTCATCATTACGAAACATACAAAATCTAGGCTAGTCATCTTTTAAATAAGTTTGTTGAAATATTTTTTTATTTGCAAAATATAAAAGTATTCAAATTCTTATGGCTTGGGGGAAGGGGAATGAATAAATCATATAACATTGACACATCATCTTTTCACTTTTCTAATTCAAACAATAAATTATTTCTACAAACAAACATCATATATCACTTGTACGTCAACCTAGATGTTAAAGTCAATTGTTAGAAAAAAAGTGAGTTTCACTGTTTCGATTCACTTTCAACTTGCCAAACACCCACTTTGTGTTTCTGCACTCCGTATTTGATAGGCCTATATTTCTAATAGTGACATTTGGTCATATGTTTTTTATTGGGACCACGATGGGGATTATGGTAGTAAGCTAAATGCACAGTACAATAATAGCTTCTCAATTACAATCGGTAAACAATTTGTATTGTCATGACAAAATCATAATAATTTAAGGATATTGTTTTGATACTTTAAAGTTAGAATTTTATTAATGTAACACCCGTGAACTATCGTTACAGTGTTCCGATATCGTTAAGAACTTTCATTAGGGAACGAGTTAATAATTTATACTATTAATAAGAAACTATTACTGTTTATATTCCGAACGCTTATGATCCATTTCTTTTTCATTTTAGGCTAAAATATGGCTTAAGTAAGTTGGGTGCGATACTGCGATTAGTCTCCAATGCATAAGTAGCACGTGCAACCCATGCCTGTCATCAAATCCAATCAAGTTGGATTAGTCTCCAACTCAATCTTGGGCCCAAATCCGAATTGGACTCAACACAAATTTCCACTTCAAATTCTTTTATCCAACTGGAATTGAATTCAAGCTCATATCGGAAGGGCCAACTCCAGCTAATTGAGCCTAGCCCATGTGATCGTTTCATCCGCAGCAAGCCAAGTCAATTTTATCCACCTTAAGATCGAAGTCCAACTGAAATTTCAAGCCTTACACGGAGCCATCTGTGGCCCTATATGAGCACGCGCTT